TGAACAGAAGTATACCACTTGGAAAAGATTCAATAAAGCCAAATACTTTAGTTACATTGCTTACGTAGGTATGGAAAATATAATTGGAAAGAATGAAGGTTTTTTTTTTTTTTTTTTTTTTCATAAAAATCTAGTGGATTTCAACTCTCAAATTTCTTTGCACATAGTTTTAAATTCTCTTAGTACTGTTTAAGAAAATCAAAACAATCTGTTTTGAATAGTTTATAAAAAAGACTGTCAGGGGCTTCTCAAAGGCTTCACTCCTACATCAAAAGATTGGCTGATGCCTGGCACGATGGTGCATACCTTTAATCCTAGTTATTAGGAGGTAAAGGCAGGAGGATTGAGAGTTTGCGCCCAATGTGCCCAATTTAGGAGCTTAGTGAAACTGTCTGAAAATAAAATAAAATAAAATAAAATAAAATACAGAAGGCTGGGGAAGAAGGTTGGTGTGAACGCTCTAAATTTGATCTCTAGCACTGCCAAAACAAAAAAAGCGTGTTTCTATTTCTTAAATTAGGATGTACATTTCTTAAACTAAAATGTATTTTAATTTTTGAATGTATTTAAAAATTTTTTGATTCTCAGTTTTGTATTTTTTCTATTTAGATCAAAAGCAGACTTGACTCAATCACCTCAGTAAAGGGAGATTCTACTATATTTATGTACTTTTATTTCACAAAGGATTCTTATAGGTAAGAAATAATTCTCTCTGTTCAGTATTGGAACTGAATACATGGTGCTACGCAGGCTAATCAAGTACTCTACCACTGGCCTACATCCCCAGATCATTTTATTTTTTATTTTGGGACAAGGTCTTGCTGAGCTGGCTAGGCTAGCCTCTAACTTCAGTCCTCACTTCAGTACTGTAGCTGAAATTACAGGTGTGAACCTCAACAGCCAGCTTAAAGAAAGTATATCTAAAGAGACAAATAAAATTTGAAATAAGAAAACTAAAGCAGAAAGGTAAATGAGGGTACAAAAGAAAAATGTATACAGCTTAATATTAAAAAATAAGCATCATACTTTTTGTTTTTTTGGTACTGGAAATGGAATTCAGGACCTTACACTTGCCAGGCAGGCGCTTATGCTGCTGAGCTAAATCCCCAGCAAAAACATCATGTTATATATCATACTTTGCTAAGGATAAATCTGTTTCCTAGCAATCAATATAATAATATAAACAGTTACAATAGTCAACTTATCCTAGAGTTTAAAAACAAACTTGAAGATTTAATAAATAATAAATTTTAACAAGGAAAAAAACCCCTAAAAACAAAACAAAATAAAACAAGTATAGTTATCCATAACATAAAGTCTAGAAAAAACGTTTTGTACATAATCAAAGGTCATTTATAAGATAAGAAGGTAACAACTCCCACAGGACTGTGTTTTGACAAGTATATATAAAGTACACACATATGAGTTTTAATTAGCAATAATCGCGCCTTGGATAAACCTCACTGGCTCCGATACTACCACTGCGCAAAGCTCATACGAGTTTTATATATGAGTTGATCTATTTTTGAATGAATGACACGGTAAAATGCAAGTTAGTAAAAACAACTGTAAGTAGAGCAAATATCCATGATCCAATTTCTCCATATTCTGATATAAACTAAGGTACAACATGGAGTATAATGTACAATATAACATTAACCCAAAATTACATTTTAGAATAATGTAAACCAGTCACCTTAAAATGTTTGGGGATTAACATATCACTTTGAAGGTCTGATGAAAGTGATGAAAATCTAAACAATCTCCCAAATCTTAAGGAGAATGTGAGAAAATATTCACAAATTTATAGCTACCTTGTAACATCTATTCAGCCATTCACTGTTATAGACCCAAGATAAAATTCTTGGGCTACAGCGACCTCTGTGACTGTAGAACCTTCACACAGTACTTGAACAATCCCTTTCTCTTAGCCAGTAGCCTGCCAGGTGTTAAGCACGAAGTATACTCAAGATTACTTCTAACAGAGCCTGGATTAAAGACATTTTCAGCTTTAAGTTAAATGCAGAGCCATGATTTGTTGGGCAGAGTTTGCCTCTTCTCTTACGTGTGCGCGAGGGTGTGCGTGTGTGTGTGTGTGTGTGTGTGTGTGTGTGTGTGTGTGTTTTAACTGAGGTTTGAACCCAAGCCTTCACAGTGAGCTACATCCCCCACCCTTTTTCTTATTTTGAGACAGGGGCTAAATCACCAAACTGCCAGGCTGAGTCTGAACTTTTGATCTTTTTGCCTCAGCTTCAAAAAGTATCAGGATTACAAGTATGTTATCACACCTCACTTCACCTCCTTTCTTGAAACTGACCTTAATAAAGATACACGTCTCCAATGGATAACGCATGAGTTGGGACCTGATGGAGTACTTGTATAAAGCTAGAATTTTCATAGCACAGTAATTTGAATGCATTCTCAATACAAAGATGGACAACCAGAAATATGCCATAAACTGTGACTGAAAAAATTTTAGCCTAGACAATATTTTAGGTCTGCCTTCACCATTAAATAAATCCAACTTAGCTTAGCATATAGTAAATAAAATACATTAAGTGTTTAAGCACTGTAAATTCTGATGTTATATGTTGATTATTCTCACTTGTTCACTTATCCGTACCCATAACCCTCCCAGCCTCTATGTAGGTAATGAGCACATCCCTGTCCCGTGACTTTAAGCTTGGTTAAGTGCCTTGTTTTAATGTAGTAAGTAGGTATAAAAAGAACAAAGGCTTGAATGTGTGTCACACAGCATAACCTGTAGGATTTCTGTCTTTTGTCAAGAAAAAAGTATCTCTCACACAGCTAGTGGTCCACAGAAGATGAGTACCATATGCATCAAATCTGGACCCAAGAAACAGCTTGGAACCAAGCCCAAGCTGGCTCAACCACAGCAGATTAAGCCCCAACCCCATATATGAGCAAGAAATAAAAGCTGAGGTTTCTATGAGTCTTGGGATGATTTCTTCTGTAACATTACTATGGGAATTACTAACTGATACAGTATATACAAAGTAGCAAAATGCAAGCATCAATAACTAAATTTCTACGTGTACTACTGACTATAAATCATTTGGGGGCTTATAATTCTTTTCCCTTGAAAGATAAAATAGCATACCAAAGCAGGAATTCGTATTCACTTTGACCACGTTACTGACAGTTTTAACTATGCTTCAGATTGTTTTCCCATCTATAAATGTACCATCAAAACTGTTTTTCCACCTACCAGATTTATGTTCTAATAGCTCAGTGTTGTACCAAACCCAGGGAAACAGGTGTGGTAACTCCTGGTGAGCGCTTAACTCTGAAACTATTTAGAGTTGCTGATGCATGATACTAAAAAGGAGACTGTGTTTTCACTGGTTTGCTACTAATTTTTAATTCTCTACATATGACATGTCTCCCATTGCCTAGACCTGGGATGTACCACTCCCATCACACTAACCCCCTTGAATGAAAATTTCAAAAATGGAATTCTCAAAAATAACTTACATAAAACACTTATTAAATATAAGTACTACCAGAAAAAGCATCCATTTACTTTATTAGCATTAAAAGTTTTATAAAAGTTAATGACAGCTGGGCCTAATAGCACATGCCTGTAATTCTAACACTCTGGAAAGCTAAGGTAAGAGGATGACAAGTTCAAGCACAGCCTGGGCAACTTAATGAGACCCTGTCTGAAAATAAAACACGGGTGTGAGAGCTTATTTTACAGGCTTTGGGATATGTTAAGGTCTTTGTTGTTGCTACAAGCATAGTCTATTCTGAATTTTAAAAAAAAATTAATTCCTGGGGGAAAAACAGGCTAAAGAAAACTTTTTTACATATTGACTTTACATGTCTTGGTGAATGTTATTACTTATCATTTATTAATTCACTTGGTTTTGTTATGGTGACATTCATATAATCTAATAGCAACTGTTTTTTCTTTTCTTTTCAAAGTGTTTTAGCCTATTATTTCTTTTTCTTATTTTATTTTGACCAGAACTTCCAGAAAAAGGTTGACTAGGACTTATATTAGTGTGCATCTGTCTTTTTTCTGAATTTTTGATGTTATACCTTTCAGTATCTTTCTTGGTGAAAATTTTGTTAAAGGTGGAGTTTATTCATAGCTTGAAAAGTTCTATATTTTAAAACTTACCAATAAATACTGATTTTTTAAAAAATAAAATAAAATAAAATAGAACAAGGGCTGGGGATATATTGCAATGTGAAGTCTCTCAGTTCAATCCCCAGTATATTCATCACAAAAGTTGATCACAATGGTAAAAGTACTATAGTCTAATTGGCATCATAATAGAAAATTATCTAAATTGTGAAATCATTCAACTGAGCTAGAACTTATTCAGTCTTTACATTAAGATCATGTGAATTGTTTCACCTTAAAATTCCACTTTCAGTGTACTCTTTCTCTACTCACTTCTCTGATTTTATAAAGACATAAATAATCAGTTTGTTTTTGCTGAGGACCAACAAAAGAGTAAGAGTACTGACAGGAGCACTTCTAGATTTCTTTTCAAACCAATTAATATTATTATTTTTGTAAGAATAATGTAAGTCAAATTCATTATCAACATTTGCATAATTCCGTAGTGTGAAATATTTTAATTGCTAAAAAGTCTTATTTCAATACTGTACCAAATTTTAAAATCAAAATAAAAAGCAGCTCCTTAACTTTAATAGTTTTTTTAAGTTCTGAAACTATAAACCCTCCAATTTAAGAATATTTAGGGTTACATTAATTGGAAGAAGTACCTAAAATGAAATTCTTTAAATATGTACTTTGTCCCGTATAGCAGAAGTATATTGTTACATATAATACGTATTCTATAATGGATATATTATTGCTGACTTTGTGGTACATAATTAACTAACTCTAAGCCATAAATGAGTATAAAATAACTAGCAATACAATTAACCCAAATGAATATTTCAAGCGTATTTTTAAAGTCTTTGATTAAGCAAAGTATACTTAGTTTAAAAACTTTACATACCTGATGTTCCAAAAGCAATATCCCAAGGGGAACTAATAGGTTGTTCTTCTCCTTTTGCTCCTCCTTCTTTATCTGTACCTTGAACTCCAATGCCAGCTACAGTGCTCACCTTCTCAGCTTCTAGGTCAATCTATAAAAATTTCATCGATGCATCATGCAACGGGTGTTATTTCTTTTTTTTAACCTATAGTTTGTGAAGATTTCCAATAGAACTTATAGAGTATTTGCAACAAATATTTTTTAAGAGGCTAACTAATAGGGACCTTGCAATGCAAGTGTACCCATCTGTCCCTTTCATTTCTCTGCCTATCTATTCATCTATTTTCCTTTTCTCTCCCCCACTGGAACTAGCACTGGCCTCATCTGAACTATAAAATATTTTAAAAGAAAGTGAAGTTTAAAAACACAATCCAGCGAAAGGCATGTTTCTTAAAGTTAAATGCACATATTACAGTTTGACTTAGCTAGTGATTAACACGTAAAGAATTCAGTAGGTGCTCAGCACAGCTCAAGAATAAGCCAGACAACCAGCCATGCCCATACTAACCCAACAACTGTGATCTTGATTATTTTAGTGGTACCTGAGACACAAACTGTTAAGTAACTTTCCCAAGATCCCATAGCGAGTATTTTGGATCTGGGATTTGAATCCAGGTAATTTTATGTCACTACATTAACTCTACTTCATAAACTGAGAAAGTATTGTAAGATAGTCCACTGAAAAAAGATGCTGTTTTCATCTCCTTAGACCTGCTTCCCAACATTTTACCATGAAAATTTACCACACACAGAAAAAACAGAAGGAGTTTGCAGTAAATATCCATATATCTACCACCTGGTTAGATTCTACTATCAACATTTCACTTAGCTGCTTTGGCACATATTTTATTCACCTATCAATTCTTTACTCATTTTCGATGCATTTCAAAGTAAATTGCAAATATCAGTATCACTGTCATTAAAAGATAAGCATACCATTATTTTGCTTGTATTTTTGGTTTTTTTCCTGAGTGGGGATTTTGTTATGTTATCCAAGCTGATATGGAACTCCTGAGCTCAAGTCATGCTCCTGCCTCAGCCTCCTTGATAACTGTACCACAGGCATAAACCACCATGCCTTGGCTCACCACTGTGATTTATATATTTCCTTCTTGTCTCAGGATGTTGAACACTTTACGTGCTTGTGGTCATTCTTGTAAATTTTTTAAGAAAAGTTTGTTCAAATCTTTGGCTCATTTTTTATTGGGTTATCTTATTTTTCAGTTGTTACAGCCTTTATATAGCATGGAAAGTAGTCCCTTGAAAGACATATTTTGTAGATTTTTTGCTAATATCTCCAAAAGCCTATGTTTGTTTTTTCCTTAACAGTCAATTTTAATGGTCAGACATTTTAAATTTACTAAAGCCTAACATCATTTTTCTTCATGATTATAGTCTCTGTGTTCTCATATAAAATCTGCCTACTTGCAAATCACAAAGATATTCTCAGCCATCCTATGGAGGTATGAAGTTGCTTCTCACTGTGGTTTTGACATACAGTTCCCTGATTACTAAAGATGTCAAGCATCTTTTCTTATGCTTATGAGCCATTTGTATTTATTTCCTTAAGAAGTGTTTTCTAAAAGCGTTGGTTTTACTTTTATATTGAGGTTTGTGATGCATTTTGAATTAATGTTCCCGTATGATTTGATAGGTAATTTATTTCAAATATTGTCTGCTGAAATTGTTTTCTTTCTGCAGTTGAGGCCTTTGATGTTTTTAAAAAGTCAAATGAACCCTACAGAATGGGGCTATGTGAGGCTCTTCATTCTCTTTTACTGATCTGAATCTATCTTTATAACAGTACCACACTGTCTTGATTAATGTAGCAATATAGGAAGTTTTCAAATCAAATAGTGTATGTCTTTTGACTTGGTTCTTATCCAAGATTATTCTAGATATTATAAATACTTTGTTTTACATTTCCATGTACATTCTGGAATCCATTCATAATTATCTTTTAAAAAAAGCCTGATGGAGTTTGATTGGGATTACACTGGATTTCAACTTGGAGAGAACTGACAACTTCATATTGAGCCTTCAATATTAATTCTATTTAGTATGTTCATATGCATATCTAACACAATTAGTTTTTCTCAACAGTATTTTGTAATTTGAAGTACCTCAGTATTCATGGGGGACTGGTTCCAGGACAGTCTAATGCAACATGAAACGGTGGTATCTTATTTAAGTCCTTATATAAAATGATGTAGTATTTATACATAATCTATATCCATCCTTCTGTATGTGTACTTTAAATGAAGACTAGATTGTAATTATTTACACCAAATACAGTGCAAATCTAGGCATATAGTTGTTACAATATATTTTTGATCCATGGTTAGGTGAATCCATAGATGTGGAACCTGTAGGTAGAAATAGCAGACTATATATAGGTCGTGCATACAGGCTATTAAATTTAAACTTGTTCTAAGTAGTATATGTTTTTGTTGTTAATGTGATAGAATTTTTACATTCCAATTTCTAATTGATTATTACTAGTGCATAGCTGTTACAATTTGTGTCTAAATGTCCCCTTAAAGCCTCACACAGTCATGGGGGGGGTGGGCTTTTCAGAGGTGGCTAAACCTAGAGGCTATGATTGATTCATGGTCCAATGCTTGGATTAAAGTTGTGAGCGCTAGGGTGGGTACCATGCATACAATATAAGGAAGAGAGTTTTGTCTCCCCTCCTTGTTGCTTGTGCTGTCTCCTGCCCCATGAACTGTTTCTCCTCTGTCATGCCCCTCAGCCAAACCATCCTGCCTTGGAGCCAGCTGACAATGGACTGAAACGTGTACCAACTGTGAGCCAAATAAATCTTTCCCAGGTTAACTTTGGGTATCGGGTATTTTGTTTCAGCAACAAGAGAAAAGTAACTAAGACAATAATCTTTCTGTATGGGCAAAATCCACATTTGAGTAATTATGTGTATTACATGTCATCAGCAAATAAAGATAATTACTCCTCTTTTTTAAAAATCTGTACATCTTTTATTTCTCTTTCTTATTACAATGGCTGAAACCTCAAATACAATTGTTCCCAATATGAAAATATTCAACAGTTTGCATTAAGAAAGGTTAAAGACTTTTTGTAGATAGTTCTTATCATATAGAGGGTATTAACTTCCATTTCAACGTTGCTGATATTATCATGAGTAAGTAGTAAGTTTCAAACATTTTTCTACTCTATGAAAACAATCTTAAGGTTATTAGCTTTTTATTCCATAACCATACTAAATTACAATGATTTATTTTAATGACCCCTCTTTACATTATTTTAATATTTGCTCTATAATCTGCTCCATAATAGAAACTGACATGAAAATCAAATAACTCATCTTATAAAAAGCACCAGGCTCAGCTAATGTTACAAGGGAGTCCTAACAATGTTCAAAAACCAGTAATTGCTATTAGACAAATTATTCCAAAACAGAGGAAAAGAATGAGACTAGCTGATTTGATGAGGTTAGTGTGACCTTGATCCTAAAACCAAATGAGAAGAGTAAAAGAAATTAGACCCATTTAATTTATGTGCATGAATTTTAAAATATTAAATCATATAATTTTGGATAATCACATCCAACTTGATTTTCCAAAAAATTAATGACTATATAAGATATAAAAAGACAGCTCAACCTCAGAAAAACATACTAATATAACTCATCACACTGACAAGACCAAGGACAAAAAATTATGTAATTATTTCAGTATGTGTAGGAAGTACATTTAATAAAATAATTCTTACTTTGCAGTTAGAAATAGAAAGAAATTTTCTTAATGGAATAGATATTTCACTTCCCAAAGCTACAACAAATACTAAACTTCTGGAGAAAATTTACATGATACCCACCTACCATTATTGTTAATGCTTAAAAGCAATGAGGGTCCAAACCAGCAACACAATAAAAGGGGGGAAAAAGCTTAAAATTAGAAATGATTTGTTTTTGTTGACAATTATTTACAAAAGAAACATGCAAACCATAATGGGTAAGTTGATCCTAAGGTCATATGAAATTGCAAGGGACCCCAGAGAGCCAAAACGGTCTTGGAAAAGAAAAAAGTAGGAAGACTCATACTTTCAGGTTTAAAAACTTACTAAAAGATATAGCAAGCAAAATAGTGTAGTACTGGCCAATAGATAGACATATAGATCAATGGAAGAGGGACAAAAGCCCAAAAATAAACCCATGCATCTAAGATAAACTGATTTTCAACAAGCTTGCCAAGACCAAAAGAAGCAGAACCGTCTTTCCAATAATTGGCTCTGGGATAACTAGATACATACATGCAAAAGGATGAAGTAGACTTCTACCACATACCATACCCCAAAACCAACTCCAAATGAATAAAAGACTTATTTATAGATGAAAACACAGGACTATATCTTTGTGACCTTGGATCTGACAACGAAGTCTTCTTCACATATGACAACAAAAGCATAAGAAATAAAAGGAAAAAAGATAAATTAGGTACCATCAACATTTCAAGTTTTTGTCTATCAAGGGATCATTAATTGAAAAGCCAAGCCAAAGAATATGAAAAAATAGCTGCAAATCATGTATTTGATAAAGAACTTGTACACAGAATATATAAAAAATTCTTATAACTCGATTACAAAAGGACAAATTATCCAATTAAAAAACTGGCAAAGAATTTGAGTAGATTCTTCTCAAGAGATAAAAATGTTTCATAAGCACAAGAAAAGATGTTTGATGTCATTAGTCATCAGGAAAATGCCTACCAGAACCACAGTGAAATGCCAATTCATATGCCATGGAACGGTTAGAATTTATATTTTTATAAAAGGAAAATAACAAGTAATAGTGAGATTGTGGAAAAACTGGAACATCTATTTCAGGTGAGAATGCAAATGGGTACAACTGTTATGAAAAACAATTTAGCAGATTCTCAGAAAGTCAAACATAAAATATATGGCAATAAGTCTAGTACTAGGCATATACTGAAGAGAAATGAAAATGTATTTCGATGTAAAACGTGTACATGAATGTTGATAGCAGTATATTAATAACAGCCAGAAGTCAGAAACAACCTACAATTTTGCATGTTGGTGCACACCTGTAATTGTAGCACTTGAAAGGCTGAGGCAGCAGATTGGTGCGAGTTTGAGGCCAGCCTGGACTATACAGTGAAACTCCAAAACAAAACAAAGACTTTAAAACAATACCAAACCTAAGTGCCCATGAACTGGTAAGCGGATAAACAAAATGTGGCATATCCACACAATAGAATGCTACCCAGCAATACAAAGGATAAAGTACTTCAAGTTACTTCATAAATGAACCTCAGAAACAGGTAAAACAAAAAGGCAAACATAAGAAAACATGTATCTTACAATCTTATGAAATGTTATACAAAAATCTTCAAAAAAGCCAAATTAATAGCAATAAAAGATTAGTAATGGGGCTAACCCATGACTGATTATGGGAGTTCTTATTGGGGGATGACATAATCTAAAAATTTATGATTATGTTTGTAAAACCTGTTAAATCTACAAAAAATTAACAAACTGTACTTCCATCGCTAAACTTTACCATACACCAAAATAAAGTCATTTAAGATTGCCATGTGCACAAAACACTGTTTTCCAAGTCGCAAAGACATGCACTAAACTTTCCATGATGGTTGCCTATCGGTTTGTTTCTGTAAGGGGAATGGCAGTGGGAGTGAGGGGAGGCAGTAAAGGGAATTTGTAAGTTAATAAATAAATTATTGTAGGCAAGGAAGAATTTGAATGGAGTAATGCATTTGTATATACGAATACAGAAGCAAGATCAGCTCAATTCTCTATAAACGAGGTCTTAAACAAAAACAAAATGCAAGAAATATTTTTATAAAAAGGAAAGGAAGAAATAATTCCACTTCCTATTTTTATAGACACCAAGTAATACAATACAGAACAAGTTTAGGAAACTTAAGTTTGTTGTGATTATGCTACTTAATGCATTAGCATTTAAAATGCAGCATCATGATCAATACTCCAAAACCCACTAAGTTCTAAAGCAAGAGAAAGGATGTACAAATAGAAAGAACAAGTATGCTCTCAATGCTGGCAAGCTACCTTACTACTCCAGTGTACTGTTAGATATCTGTGACATTCTGAGTAATATTTGACATACACAACACCAGAAAGAAATGATAAAGAAATATTGATCTTTAAGTGTTTTAACATTAGAAAAATTTTTCTGCAATGTATTTACCATAGGAACATTAGTCTTTGAGAAGCTCTGCCTAACAAGGGCTCCTTAGTCAAATATTAGAAATACTGCACAAATATTCCCCCACTAATATATAGTATTCAACAATATATTAGCATGCTTAAGTTCCAAGAACAGTTTCCAAGACTCTGAAGAATCATTTTTGAAAATGATTCATTAAGCAGATGTTATTTTTTCATAAATTCATTTAAAAATTCATTTAAAATAGGATTTTAGCAGTACAGAAAACATATTTCTTATCCTTAGGGAAACATATATTCCAGGGACATTATTAGATATGCAATACGTATATGTGCCATTAATTAAATGTTAAGTGATAATATTGTCATAGAAATGAGGATAAGTATCAACACTAAAAGAAACACTGAAAAAAAGCAAGGAAGTATCTGAAATAACGTGTTCATCCAACAGAACGGATTAGAGGAATTGGATTATTTGCCAAATATAGTAACTTAAAGACCAACAGATTATAACCAAAATAGCCACAGGTAGGGAATATTTAAAATAATTGGGTATACCAACAACAAAATATGATAGCCATGCCATTCATGTGCCTAATCTGAGAAAAAGTAAAACTCTCAAAACAAGTATGATTCCATTTGTTTAAAAAAATTCTCTAAAAAGCCCCCTCCCTTCAGTATTGGGAATTAAACCTGGAGCTTTTGCACTGAGCAACATTTCCAGCCCTTTGTAAAATTTTGAGACAGGCTCTTGCAAAACTGCCCAGGCTGGGATTGAATATTCAATCCTCCTGCCCTAGAGTGCTGGGATTACAAAAATGCACCATTACCATATCTGGCTACAGTCTTAGATACAAATCTTTTTATTTGCATATGCAGGTAGAAATTTTCTAAAAAGACAAGATTTAAGAGTAGGTTGCCATTTCTGGGAAAATAGATTTGATAGTCAGGGAACTTTTTTACCTTTATGTAACAACTGATTTTTCAAAACAAGGACATTTTTAATGAAATGAAGTAATTTTTAAAATGTTTTTATTAGTATACATTTGTAGTACCTAATGATTACATTCATCATGGAGAATTAGTACAAGGACATAACATATCTTAATTCTTTTTCCATCCCCTTCCCCTCCTATCCCTTCCTCCATGAAATAAATTTTAAGACTAATCAGCTAATAAATATTTTCAGGCAAAGTGTGAGGGTTGAAGGGAGGCAGGAATAGTTTGACTTTTTTTTCTAGGGTTGAGAAAATTTAACTGGAAAGGACAAAGTATCACAAATGAGTTTTTGGTAACTGGGCACATGACTTAAAAAAAAGAATAAGGATACTGAGACATATTTACACATCACACTACAACTTCAAATATCTAATGCAGCAAATAAGTATTAGTTTTTCTGATTAGATGTTTTAAAAACTTTAACTTAAAAAGGAAAGTTACCTTTCTTATAAGATGGTTTTCAGTGTCTGCCACATATATGATATTATCCATCATGGCTACACCTTGTGGAGAGTTAAAAGTTGACTCGGAAAATAGTCCATCTTTTCTTCCAGGGTTAGGTCCTAAAAGATAAGACAGTCATAGGACAAAATTTTGTCATTAAAAAATGATTTCAACTAAACAAAAAAAAAAAACAAACAAAATAAAATTGTATTTAATGCTGGGATTTGAAAATAAGTAACATTGTACTTCTATCTAAAAATTAAAACATTTTTCATGGTATATTTTTCTCAAGAGTGAGTTTTGGTAATGACAGGGATTACAGTATAAAAAATGTTATGTCTCACCTAATTTTCTATAAAATGGAACACAACATGTTTATGTTAGCATATATCAGAAGAAAATAATTTTATTTTCTTTTTTAAATGTTTCTTTTTGAGTCACGGTCTTGCTATGACCCTGAACTGAGAGTCCAGGCTGGCCTCAAACTGGTGGCCATTCTCTTGCCTCAGGCCTCCCAAGTGCTGGGATTACAGGCATGCACCATACCTGGAGTGAAGGAAGCAATTTTAAAAGCACTAGACTAAAAAGTTAAAATTACTTTTAATCGTTCAGCGGTGAATCATTTTTAATAATTTTCAAAAATATGCTCCTTTGAAAATTCTGTACCTACTTGCTAGAAAAACACACATATTCAAAAATGTTGCAAACAACCCTAAATTTTGACAGCCATCCAAGCATTTGTTGAGTCTAGAATTCCAGGTTAGCTGGGCACGGCGGCACACACACCTGCAATCCCAGCACTTTGGGAGCCTGGGGCAGGAGGATTACAAGTTTGAGCCCAGAGCAGCCAATTTAGCAAGATCCTGTCTCAAAGAAATAGAAAGGACTGGGGATGTAGCTGGGATAAATCGCTAATATTGCCCCTACCCCAAAGAAAAGCAGTTCCAAGACTCCTTCCTGTCTAGTATTTCACTTTGTCATAAAATCCTGTAATATCACATACTGGTTTGGACAAGTTCTCACCTAATTTTCTATAAAATGGAATTAATTATAGTACTCAACTCATAGTAATATGAGAATGAAAAAAGTTAATATTATCTGTGTTAACACTCTATGCTACAGCATTGTGAGGCAGATCCTGTTTTCCATTACACACTGTACTCAATAATGCTATTATCGCTGCTGTTTGTGTAAAAGTTCCCTGAAAAAAAGGAGGGAGCATTCTGTGGTTACTTTGAATTAGAAAATACTGGGCATAGGGGCTGGGGATTTAGCTCAGCGGCAAAAGCGCCTGCCTGGCAAGCGCAAGGTTGTGAGTTCGGTTCCCGGCACCAGAGAAAAACCAAAAAAAAAAAAAAAAAGAAAGAAAAAAGAAAATACTGGGCATTGTGGCCCGCTTTTATATATTCATGAGGCACATTACCAGCATAAAAGATATAAAAAGTCCAATGACTCTCCCCCTAAACAACAAAAAGATCTGCTAAATCACATCCCACCAGTGTTTCCTAAGTGTATATGACTAACGAACGATTATATAAGATATCAGTATTTTTAGAAATATGTTTGAGAAATAGTTTGATGATTTCTCTGCTAACAGAATACTAACCTACACTGTTTTGAAAACTATAGACCTATTGAAAACTATTTAAATTCAAGCTACTATAAAAGATACTTTGTGATTAATGATTCTCATAACTGCCTGTCATAAATGAAAATATCATGTAGTCAAAACAACACAAATACAGAACACATACTCTAACAAAAACAACAAATAAGAAACAAATAATTCAAGAAGTAAAGGAAATCCTATCTCGGGACACTAAAAATGGCATCATGACTTAGAAATATGATTGGCTTCTTTGCACTGGAATTCAGATTACCCTACTTTATGTACAATGCTGCATGTATTACTAAAGTAGACTGACTGCAAAGACATGAATTACTTTTCTCTTTGATATGTTGTTACCTCAGTGCAGCCTAGATAAGCAGGATTAATAAGAATATACTTAAGAAATTTTATTAAGCGTATGTAAGTAAAATGCAAGGTCAAAGATCACAAAATGATCTGAGCTTGCCTGGTAACTTCTATTTTGCTACACTCAAAGGGAATGCATCCAAAAGTCTGCTTAAGTTTTTAAGGAAGGGAGGTGAGGATCATAAAATTATGCATAAATCCTAGCTTATTTTATAGTCTACATGTCAAGTTGCTGGGACACTGTCCTGGCCTTGAAAAAGATATGAATATATTCTGCCAGCAAGTAAAATACAGTACTTCCACTTAAAATGTCAGAAATCCAATATATGTATGTTTTCATAAAACATAATGACTGGTAATTTTTTGAAAAAAAAAAAAAAGGATATACAAATATATTTAAGTTATGTAACTTAATGATTTCCTCCTTTCAACATAGAGTTTTCTTGGCTTTTGAGGGAGTGAGGAGAGGTTAGTTCAGACACCATACATTAAATAACAAAAATACAATTTTATAACAAAGTCAATGCATGCCACCTATTAGTTCTTATTTATAAATTTCAATTTTCATGTATTTACCTGAACTATATTTTTAACTGCGAAACATAATATACAGCATACTTAGAAACAATCTTTACCTCCAATACTGTGCTGAATTTGTCCATTTTTCCAAATAACCAAAATCCTATGATGTCCAGTATCTGCTATTACCAGTCTATTAGTAGCGTGGTCTACAGTTACTTTGCCAGGAAACAGCAGTGGTGAAGGGGGAAGAGAATCTTTGTAGAGTTTGATTCCAATTTTATTATCTCTGATTTGTCCTCTGTCTCCGTAATACTTTAGAGCTATTGAAGTATACAAAAATAATTTATCTTTGTGTCCTTCTCCAATCAAAGAAAACAGCATGTTTCCACGGGGTCCAAGAATAATCAGTGTTGGCCAGCAGGACACCTCTAGCTCTTGCCAAAGGCTGGCATCCGCATCATTAACCACAGGGTGAGTGATATTGTATCGGAGAACAGCGCTCTTAATGTTGTCCAGGACTTTTTCATTTGGAAACTTAGCCGAGTGAACACCAACAATCAGAAGACCATCTGAAAGGGGAAATGTATATATTAAGTATAATGAAATATTAAGTGGCATTATCCACACATTAGGTTTTGTGTCATTAATAAATGTAAATGGTAGATTAAAAGAAAGAACAGTCTTCAACTGCATTTAAACGTATGTACAAAAATTAACAAATTCAAATCTCATGACAATATTGACTTCTACATAAAGACATGATCAAATTCATGTGCTATTGCAGTCTTAAAACTATGTTCTTTTGCTAGATAAAGCCAGTGAAAACTAGTTGTTATAGACTAGATACTGACATTTTCCTGACTAGAATAAGCCCTTCTGAAATTCTGAATGACTACGACTGGTTTTCTTGAATATTTATTAACAGATTATTCTGCTAAATTTTTAATCTAATCTTATATTACAGCTTAACTGAATGAATATAAGATTTCCCACAATGTAAGGTTTTTAATTCATGTGAAATTCTTACTATGCCATTCTTAGAACAAACCTGGTAGACAGAATTGCTACAAACTAAAGATAACATACTTCTTTTATCTAATCAATGCATTATTTTATTTGTTTTGTTTTGTTTTGTTGTTTTTGTTCTTCTGGTACCAGGAACCGAACTCACGACCTTGCGCTTGCCAGGCAGGCGCTGTGCCACTGAGCTAAATCCCCAGCCCCTCAATGCATTATTTTAAAATGTTAGTATGGGGCAGGAAAAGCATTTAGGCTAGATTCAGACTAAAAACTCAATACTAATTTAGAAGACATAATAAATTCAAATCTCCCAACATGTCTATCAAAACCTACTCAAATTAGCATGAAGGATAAACAAACCATACAAATAAGAGGTATTAACTCCCCAAGAGCCCATTATCCTATTGTAACTACCAACTTAAAACAAAACACAGGCATACACACCATCAGGGCTGATCAGGTCCCCAGTCACCTGGGCAAGAGTACAACGAAGGACAAAAGAGACCCACACAGGAATTTAGAACGCCAGGGGTCCAGAGCGTCAGAGCTCTTACTCACTAAGACCAACAATCTCTCTTTCACTCTCTGTTGAACGCACATAGCTTTCCAGGGGACACGTAGGGAGCTCCTGGGACAGCGGAGTGGAGGGCACTGACAGGACGTGGAGGAGTAAGGGGTAAGAGACAAAGTGTTATGCCACTGATTACGGGGAAACTTACTCTTCCTTTTGGTTAACATTTACTTCGATAGGACTTTGTGCGGGAGTCAGAGTCCCCAGCTGACATGCTATCTTGCCTTCTGAGACATCACAGTGCCACAGGTCATAGACATCCCACACAGAGACAGGGCATACGGAGTTGTGTTTCCAAATGGCAGCTGCTGGCTCATCAGGCAAGGCACAGAGGCCTAGGGTACATTCATAGAAAGCCAATTTATGGATTAGTAGAACACTGTTTGAAGACTGACAAAAGGAAACACAGCAGGTAGATTGCAGAGGAGGGTTCAAAGCTTTAAAATATGAGGATGTTTCCTGTTTTTATTCCTTCTGTCCTTTCTTGGCTTTGCTCTGAGAACAGACCCCCCAGTTCTAAAGGTACAAAAGTGGCTAAAACTCCAAAAGAAACTCCACAGAACCAGGAAAGCTGGAGAGTATGAGGCTAAGAGAAAAAGCAAATTGGAGAATGTGATTCCCCATGTGAGTATGACTACTCCCAAGTCTTGGCTCTATCTCTAAAGTACAAGCGTGAGACAGACCCAATGAAGTACAGTAAATGCTTAAAGAACTGAGACCTGAATTACGGATTTGAAAGGAAAGCTGATGGAAGATGAGGCAGAATTTATACTGTGAACTGTCAGAGTTGAATACCTCCTCACACAAAGCTATCAATATTCTGCAGAGGTCTCTGACAGAATCTCATCTACGTAACATTCCAATGTTCAAGGTACAATCTCAAACTACTTGACACTCAAAGAGCAAGATTGCCTGGGCATAGTGGTACATGCCTGTAATCCCAGCACTCAGGAGTCAGGCAGGAGGACTGCTGTGAGTTTGAGGCCAGCCTGAACTACATAGTGAGCCTCTGTCTCGGGGAAAAAAAAGCCAGGTAATGTGGCTTATTATCAAAGAAAAGCAAAAGCAATAGAAATCAATGCCAAAATAAAGTACATGTTTGAGTTAGCAAAGACTTTAAAGCAATGATGATAACTTTGCTCCACACATAAAAGAAAAACATATATACGGTGAATGAAAAGACAGGAAACAGAGAAATTGAAATTATATATATATATATGTATTTGAAATAAACACACCGCAGAACATAGTGGCACATGCCTGTAATCCCAGCACTCAGGAGGCTGCGGCAGGAGGAACACTGTGAGTTCAAAACCAGCTTGAGCTACATAGTGAATTCATGGCCAGCCTGAATGGCAGTGAGACCTTGTCTCAAAAGAAAAAGAAAACAAGTATCCAATGAAATAAATATACCTATTAAAATAAATTCATTTAAAGGCCAAAAAAAAAAAGTACAGAGGAAAAAGTCAGTGAAGCTAAAGACATATAAGAGAAATAAGCCAAACTAACAAATGCAAAGAAAGACTGAATTAAAAAGAAAAGAACCTCAGAGACCTTTGGAACAATTTAAAAGATCTACAATTTAATTGGAACCCTACATGGAGATGTGAAAGAGATTAGGGCAGAATAAATGTCTGAGTGATGCCTAAACTGAGCCAACAATTTACACAAGTCATCTTTTTGTTTGGAGATCTTGAGGAATTTTTTGTTTTCAAACTTTAAAGTGTAACCGTTTCCCTATACTATATCCTGGATTACTATGAGTCAATTTTCCCCAGTACCTGGTAAGCCCTGTCAGTATGTAAATTCAGTAGGGGAAAACAAAGAGAAAGTAGAATCGCAAGTAAAAGCCGGAACCTATGTGAGCTTCCAGGTCATTAAATGAGGTGACTAGCAGAATACAGTGGTATCCTTTGTCATGGAGCTGAGTGCTCGCCTGACCCTGGAGTTAGAAAAGCTGAGGGAGGAGAGCTGCTGTTTTATTCCTTATTTTTTTTTGCCTGCTTGCCTTTGTCTGTCCCTTAATTTTAGCCTTTTGGATCCACTTTTAGATGTATCTCATATACAGAGTTTATCCATCTTTTTCTTTTAATAGATGAGTTAAGCCCATTCATATATTGTATGATTATTTCAGAAGGCAGGTGCTGGTATTTTCCTCATTTTACAAATGAGAAAAGTGATAGAGAGGTTAAGTAACTTGCAGCCCAGCCTGGGCTACAAAGTGAGCTCAAGATCATTCCTTTTTGTGTGTGTGGTGGTTTTATTTACGGTTAGCACTGCTGGAGAGAATGACAAATGTGTTTTTCTCTTTCATTTTGCTGGATCCTAAAATTTCCCTTACTTCCTTCTTTCTCTTAGTGGCCTCTCTCCTAGGGAACCACACCTTGGCCTAGGTATCTGATTCTCTCCTAAAAGCAGTTATTTTTTGGAGGCTTCCATTCCCAGTCCTGTAGTCTTAGGAGCTGGTGATATGTTCTAGCTCATCCAGACCTGTTCTGAGAGTTTTGCCTTTCATATTGGAGTTTCTCTTTCTGGGGGAAAGGGGACTGCACTGTTTGTGCTTTGCCTAAATCCTCTGAACCACTCTACTTTTCTCAGAGAGCCTTTTAAGTCTCCTCTGTCCCTTTCCTCAGCAATTCCAGGCTTTCAGCAGCAAGACCTTTATAGGAATTTAGCTTAATTCTCAACTTGCACATGATATGAAGGCCATAATGTGTATTCTGTGTCTGCTAATATTGTGAAATACAGGCTCAAGTGTGGTTTTATTTGCTTTCATTTCTATGTTTGGGGAAGGAAGATACGGCATGTGTGGAGATTCAAAATTAGTTGGTCACCATTCTCTAAACCTGGAAGCAGCACAGACAGATTTTTTTCACATGTATTTATAAATTATATAGGGTATGGTTTAGCTTCTTATTTTGTTAATTGATTAAGTAAATAGAACTAAGCCCTAAAGCTAGCCTCTTAGCTAATTGAGAAACAAATATTTGCAACGAAGTGAGAAATAAGGCAAAGATGCCTGCTATCTCCACTGCTATTTAACAATGAGTTGGGGTAGGAGTAGGGGGTTAGCCAACACAGTTAGACAAGAGAATTCAATCAGAACCATGAAAACTGGAAAATTTCTATATGCAGATGACAGATGAAGGAATCAATTAAAAATGGTAAATCAATGAATCAATTAAAAAACTAACTCAAATAAAAAAATTAGGGAGGTAACAAAACATAAAATTAACACATGCAACTCAACAGCCTTTATATACCTAAACTATAACCAGTCAGTGATAGAATGACAGACAAAATCTCATGTACAATAGCCATATTAAACAAATGAAAAGGTATTCAATCCACTCTAATATGTAATTTAAAATTGTAAAATATCATTCCTCAGCTATTAGATAAAAATTAAGTATGTCAAAATCATTTCACTGGAGTGGCAGTAAGTTAAGAGGAATACACACATACTACTGGGATGGCAAGCTAATATAACCCTCTTGGTGTGGAGTTTGGCAATAGCTAAGAAAACTACATATGCATTTAACTGTGACCTAACAATCCCATTTCTAGGAATTTATCCTTAAGATATACCATCAGCAATTTAAAAATACACTTCTAAGATTATTCATTGCTTATAACTATGAAATACTGGAAACAAAAAGCAAAGACACCCCACTAATCAGAAGCTTCTAAATAGCATTCCCCACTACAAGCAATCAGACCTCCTTAGAGAAACGGCTGACTCAGGGATGGGGCCCAAAGCACAAGACAAATCTCGAAATGCTGTGGTATAATAAGGAAGGGCTAAAAAAATGAGAAGAACGTGTCAAAAAGAAAATAGAAGAGAGACTACAGGGAATCCCATTAGTCAGGTCTGGGACAATTCGATGGAAATAATGACAGCAATGATTTATAACCTCTTGAAGTCAGTAAGAATCTATGAGTTAAGTCCGTGTTTCATAGATTTTACATATTACAATA